CTGCTTGTACGGGATTCAGGTTGAACTTGATTTTCTTGTGGCTGCTGAAGATTTTCTTCACTGCAAATCCGAAAAGTTGTCGTTTAGTTTCCTTGGTATCACTTTTGGCGGCAATCATCGTCGGTACTCTTTCTGGAATCCGGTTCTGAATTGCTTGAGGAACAAATTGTCCAACTGGAATGGGAGAAATCTGTCTATAGGGGGTAGAGTAACCCTCATAAATTCGGTCTTAGCTAATCTCCCTATCCATTATCTAGCTTTCTTCAAGGCTCCCCATAAAGTCGTGAAGGATATTATTGCGATCCAACATCGGTTCCTATATCCTGGAAACTCGAGCAAAACATTTATTCCTTGTGCTTCTTGGAATTCTGTCTGTAAATCTGAGGAATATGGCGGTCTTGAAATTAAACATGTGGGTCGGTTCAATAGTGCCTTGTTGGCAAAATGGCTTTGGAGGTTCCAAACTGGCGGCAATGAAATTTGGAGGAAGACCCTCACTAATAGATACGGAAACCTATGTATCAAGACGCAAACTTACCCTGACATTGATAATTCAAAATCTGACTCGTTGTGGATGAAGGATATTATGACCAACGCGTCCCTAAATTCTCATGCCAACTTCTACAAATTCACGGCCTGTTCCATTGGTGGAGGTAACGACGTCGCGTTCTGGCAGTCAGTTTAGAATGGTGACCTGTCGTTTAAAGTCAGATTTAACAGCCTATTTCAATGTTGTTCTATGAAGTCAGCGACCGTTCGTGATATGGGATTCTGGGAGGAAGGGCAGTGGACTTGGAAAATTAGAGATTCTTTGATCGAATCATATTTCCCTCCTGAACCAGATTGGTCAGATTGTTGTAAATTGCTGGAAAATGTCTCAATTATCCCCGACGAGTCGACAAATGGCGGTGGCTGCTTCATGATTCTCTGTCTTTCAAGGTTAGTTCTTTACATTCAGTTCTAACTTCATCCTTCTCTGATCAAGATTTTGGTTCTGAATGTGCCTCCCATCTTGAGTCTATCTGGAAGACGATTATTTCGGCGAAAGTTCAAACTCTCAGTTGGAGATTGGCGCTTGATAGATTGCCAACTCAAACTAATTTATTGAAAAGAAGGGTGTCTGACTATGAGCAAGACTTGGATTATGTGTTTTGTTCTAGTAGCCTTGAGGACATTTTCCATCTCTTCTTCTCATGCATTAAATCCATGTAGGTTTGTAACAAGATTTGCGAATGGGCGGATATAGACATAATATCTGAATCTTGCTGCTACTCTCACGCGAAGGTGTGGAACTCGAGCCTTAGTGGCCGGTGTCAAACGAACAAAATAAATTCGATTTGGTTTATTACCTACTAGAGTATTTGGAGGTCTAGAAATGAATTTATATTTAATAATGTAGTTACTGAGGTCGACAATATTATTTTTGACATTAAACTTTCATCTTGGAATTGGTTGATCCTAGGTAGGAAGGGGAGCAAACATTGTAGTTTGTATGATTGGTTCAAATTTCCCTTTGACTTCTTGTAATCTCTCTTTTGGTTTGAGACTTCCTCAATCTCTTATTAATAGATTCTGCTTATAAAAAAAAAGCTTAACTATGTCACGCGCTTCAAAAAAAGACCAATAATCAGGATCTTGACCACTAAAAACATATATTTCCCCTCCCTCATATCTTACGTAGGGTCTTATGCATTTTCTTGTTCACAAAATTTAACCTAGGGTTAAAATTTACCATAACTCTGTCAAATTGATTTGCCCAAAAATTTTGTAAAATTGACACCAAAATTAGGTCAAACAGATTTATCAAAATATAACCTTTTATAGGAATGGTATTAAGATGCAACATATTAAATAAACCAAGACCACTGAGAAAGCAACGAAGATGACATATGAAAAGAAACGAGAGAACAAAGAAGAGACAAAATACATTATCTGGGACCACTTCAGCTACTTACGAAGTTGTTTTTTGGACCACTACAACGAGGATGCTTACGAAGTTGCTTTGGGACCACTGCAAACAAAGATTTCTTCTTTGAACATAGCGAAGACTTGACTCTTGTTCCTTTACCACAACGCACCTTCTTGACAACAACGATGGCTTCTTCTGCTAGGGAACACTCATGTGAAATGTTTGTGTCATGTTTTATTATCTCAATTATGAACATAACGTTATCAACAATTCCACCGTGACAAAGTAGCATATTACATATCACACGTAACCAAAATAAATTTTACACCCATTTAAGTTTCTGTTAGTTCGAGAGACCACATTTAGGGACGAAAAACTTTGTAAAGACCATTATTTAAAGAAAAATTTTAGAGGTACTAAACTTGAAAATTGACATATCTATATGGACTAAAAGCATATTTAACCCTAAATTAAAAGTAATATAAACCTAGAAAAGAAGTGAAATTATAAAAAAAAAATATTAAATGGAAAGACGTATCGTACATTTCTCTCCTAAATATGTGTCACCACATGGCCCTCATAAAGTTTCAATACTGACATATCATGCCCCTCAAAATATGGCTTGGATGATTCATCTTTATTTGCTTGTAGTTTACATTGACACTACTACCTAACAAAGGCATTGGTTGAGTCTCTATTCCTTTTAACCGGTCTCTCAATATAAAATATTTATATTCATTACTGGAATTAAAAAAACATGAATAAATCAACAGACAAAAATCATTATAAAAACAAATTAGAAAATGGAGAATGGGAAATGAATGCAGTCTACTAAATTTTAGATGATAGATTTTGAAAGCATGCATTACATATGCTTTGATTCTAGAACTTGAACGTTATTGGTAGACTAGAAAAATACAGGACAAAATCAACAATTTAAACAAATTTATTGATTTGTTCTTAAATAGTTGAATGCATGATGTTGCGACCAAAATTTAATGGAAAATAAGGCAATGCAAGTTGTTTCAGATTTAAATATTCTTGACTCAAAAGAGAAAATTGTAGAAGTAAAGGATAAAAAAAGAGGATTTTGCAAATTATATAAGGCATTCAGATTTTAAAATCTAAACTCTTACAAAGCATGATATAAATTCTAAAATTCAAATCATGATTTTATTTATTTATTTTAAATTCGAGAAACTTCTGAAATATGTTGAGGGTGTGGAAGGAGTGAAGAAAAGAAATTCACTAAAATCAGTGGAGGTTTAATGCAATGGGTTAAAAAAGATCAGATTATATTGGTCCTATAATCATACTATAATCATAGGCTCTAATACCGGCCAATAGAGCTGGATTATGACTCTATTCACGAGAGAATGATGACAAGTTTATAATAAAAAATGAGGGTTCTTTTCAGCACCCTTAGTGGTGAAGAGGCTCTTTTATAAAATTCAAAAATGTCATTGGTATAATCTAGCAGATAACTTTCGGACGTTCCTAATACAAATCAAAATATTTTGTAAGTGAACCATCTCTATTTTGTTCAAAAATATGTCCGAAAATCAATTTCTTAATTGATGGACGAGTAAGTCCGTATATAAGTTCTGGACTAACCCTTTGAGACATTTTAAATTTATGATATTGTATTTATTTCACCATTTAGTGAATATTCAAAAAGTTAAGCTTCATATTAACCCTCAAGACACTAATTTTTTTTCCTAGACAGTAAGTTTATTATTCAATTATACCATACACTTATGCTTATAGGAAGACGATGTTAGAGATACGTAAATTCGGGAAGATGATGCCTCTGCATTAAATAAAGTGACACCAACAAGTGAATGCGAAAGTCTAATTTTTTTCCCCTCCCAACAGAAATATGTTGGACAACTTACCATATCTCAATCTTTTTTTATATTATGAGACATTTGATCTTTAATTAAATCATAAAAATTATATCATAATCAAAAAAGTTAAACCCAAGGACAAAACATAAAAAGAATAAACAAACTGTACATATAAAAAAAAATACAAAAGTTACCTTCAATTTTAAACGAAACCAAAAGAAACGCAAAAATAGAGCATTGCCCCAAACTCTAAATTTAGGTGCGTTACAAAATTAAGTTTCGAATTTTAAAAATATTATTGATTTTTCACAGTGATGATAACTGAGCACCACTAAGGAGCAAATTGCAATCTATGAAGCACTGACTCCGACACAGACACCAGAATACGACACGACACAGAGATTTCGACAGCGATAATGTCAAAACATAGGATACCGACACTGTCATGTATAAGAGAGTATTTGAGCTTTATTTATACATTTATGATTAAAAAAAGTTAAAAAATTTCTAATCAAAATTAATATCTTTAATTCTTTATTAATAATATTGTTTAAATACACGTTTATCAATTTTAAATTTGTTTGAAATTTGTCCAAAATATGTATAAAAATAAGTTGAAAGAAAGAAAAAACACAAATTTTTGTTTGAAACACTTATTTGAATTATCCGACGTATGTGTTATGAGTGTCATTCAGATGTCAACCATTGATTCGAAGAGTGTCGAAATAAAGAAAAAAAATCATTTTTAATGGAAACTTATCTGACTTTTTCAACATACGGATGTTATATAAGTGTCGAACACCGCGAGACGCCTAATCCTAAAAGTGTCCGTGGTTCATAGATAGCATTGCCGACAAATTATTTTTTTCATTATCATTCAATGACATCCTTATAACTTTTCAATTTTTTTTCATAATCCTTCAATGACGTCCTTATAACTTTACCAAATTCAGTGCCACTACATTCTATCATACGTTTCATTAAACAGGGAAACACATTCTATCTCAACCCCATTAATATTAGGTTTACCGAGAAGATAATTTGAAGAAAAAGGCTTTCCGAATTACTAATTGGGTACATAAAAAGCCACAGTTTATAATTTTAAAAAATGTGAATACAATTAATTCGGCTTCCAATTATTTTATTGGGAATTGCTTCCAACACATAAATGTCTATATATATTCACCTTCATAATTAGAGATCTTTTAACCATTGGATTAAGCATTGTAACTTGAGTTTCGAAAATGGAAGAGAAAAGGATAATGCATTATCATAGCTCTCACAAAATTTTACTTGTAGGAGAGGGAGATTTCTCCTTCTCACTCTCCTTGGCAAGAGCATTTGGCTCAGCTGTTAAAATGGTTGCTACCTCTCTAGATTCTAGAGGTATATTTTGAAAACCCTAACTTATAAATAATTATGTTACAGTTTTATTCATTGAAATACTAATGGTACTAATTGATTGTTTCATTTTTAATAATATCATATACTGCAAAATTTGAAGAGACTCTTGTTCTGAAGTATAGAAGTGCATCAAGTAACCTGATTGAACTTGAGAGTCTTGGCTGCACCATCTTCCACAATGTAGATGCTTACAATATGACTCAACACCATTATCTCAAGAACGAATGTTTTGATCGAATTATCTTTAACTTTCCTCACGCTGGTTTTGTTTATCGTGAATCCAATGTATTCCAGATTCTGTAAGTTATACACAAAATATTCTGACACTTTATATCAAACACATTTATATAGCCACTACATCAATATTTCATCAATCAATATTTTAATTAATAATGCAGGTTGCACAGAAGACTAGTGAGTGGATTTCTAAAAAGTGCTAAATACATGCTTACGTTATTAGGAGAAATTCATGTTTCACACAAGACATCGCATCCATTTTGTATATGGGACGTCAAGGGTCTAGCAAAAAATGAAGGATTGATGTTTATTGAAGAGGTTGATTTTCAACAATCATATTATCCAGGTTATAGAAACAAGAGAGGTTCTGGCTTGCAATGTGATCAGAGTTTCCCTATTAGAAAGAGTAGTACTTTCAAATTTTCTTATATGATGTATGGAGAAGAGGAAATAGTTGGGCTTTGAATTTTCCTAATTTGAAGACATTTTATTGTAGCTTCTGGTGGTTGTGTTGATTTTACGTTGCCTCTTTATTAATCATTGTTAATATATTGTTGCTAGAACCACATGACACTGTTATGATTTAATTGAAGTTGAGTGTCGAGTCGTCTTGGCGACTGTTGTCACAACTGATTTTATTTAGATAAAACCAACTCCACTTATAAAGTTATTTGATTTCATAATATATTGGATTTCATAATATTGGGAATACCACATATTATTGACAGAAGAAAGTCTGCATTTACATGACAAGAAGGTTGAGTATAAATACACTAAATATGACCTAACAGCTGACCCAAAATTAAGAGCATTTCTTAATGAACCCCTTAAGTTTCTTTGCCATCAGGCATCAAGCATCATTCAAAAATATATAAATATTCTTGTATTTTGGAGATATATCTTTGAATTTAATGTAAGGTTAGTTAAAATATTTTGAAAATATATCTCTAGAATATATTAGAGGTTAAATTACTTTTGACCCTTCTCCTTCCTCATTTATCATTTTTACTCAAACTCAATTTTAAACTCTTTCACATTATTTCTCCACGCCAACTCAAAACTCAATCAACAATGTTTAGCGAAACTTCAATCATTATCTTGAACATCTCAAACAATATATGAATACTATCAATTTATTGTAAGTTTTTTAAGTTTTTGATAAATTTTTGAGTTTTTGTATAAATGAGTAAAAATCAATGATTAGAGTTAGAAATGAAGAGAAATAGCATTCAAGATAGTTTACACATAGTGTATTAGACGTTTGTTGGCTGAAAATGATGATCAAGACATTTTTTTTTTGAGATTGCATGGGATACATTGAAGCCATTGACGTTACTTCTGAGTTGAAAAAAATTCTGAAGATGCGTCTCCAGAATTTTTCAGTGTTTTAGTTTCTTAGATTTAAGAGATGCATCTCCATAATTTTCTGTAGTATTTTCTTTTTAATTTTCTTGCTTGTGTTGTTTGTCTGCGCCAATTGTATGGTTTACTTTAACTTACAAGCATAATGACTATGATAGACTTAGACACGGGAGGGTTGCTCAGCATGCATCAGTGCGGCGGAAGAAGTCTCAGTAGGTTCTAGAGACTCCTAGTCCCTCTGGTCAGACAGAGCCATCTACTTCTGGGCTCGTGCTTCTCCTTATGCCACTCCATCTTCTTCCCGTAGGAGACATGATTCACAGTCTGACACATCACTCCTTCCATCCTCCCGTATGTGTCAACTTTCACTAATGTCATCTTCTACTGTAGATGTTGATCTAGTCTCAGCTCATACTATTGATGTTATTGATCCAGTGCCACCTCGGAAGGGTGATGCTGCTGCAGATGCTGAGCTAGAAGAATTTGGAGGAGGCCCAATTGATTTGTCATTATTGTCTTTACATCGAGAGCATACTATCAAATATATCTGGGACGAATAGGTAGCATTAGTTGGATTCATTATTTTTTATTACGTTAATTTTAACTGACAAATTTCTGACATTGATTATTATTCTTTTCATAAGCGTGATCCACATAAGTTTATTAACCACGAGCGAAAGATTGTTGGCTTCTGTTTTTGTTTCTGGTTGCCTTGAGTGGACTTCTGAGTAAACCGGCAGATTACCTGCAGTTGCATTCTGGATTTTGCCCAACTTTTTCCGTTCTCAGTTGGTTCACCGATCACAACTTGATCTGAGAAGTCCGTTGTATTTTCGTCCAAAAGTAGTTCTAAGGTCATGTTGACCTTTCCTTGGGCGTGATCCAAGCTTTTCTTGCACATTATATTCTTATCCCAAACCTGTTCCATGATTCTTTGGTGATCGTTGTCGGGGAATCATCATCTTCTGGATGAGGAAGGAAAAGGGTGAGCTTTTTCTAGCTTATATGCATGAAATGCAAATGCATGCATGTATGTATATTTTTTTTTGTGGATGAAATGCAAATATATATGCAACATCCATTGATTTAAATGTTTGATGATGCAACAATTCAACTTCATAAGTTTATCATACATATGATGATGCAATAATGTATGTTAAAGGTTCAACAACTTTTGGATAATTTGTGTATACTTCTCGAGACGGTTTCAAAGGTCCGAAGTATTCATGAGAAGAAAGGTATGTAGGGTCTTAGTTTTCTGCAAAAATGCAATATTTCCCTCACAGGTGTGTGCTAGTCTTCAAAGCTAGTCCCTAAGTAGGTCTCCCAAAGTCATCGATTCAAATGAAAATACCCTTCCAGAAAATTCTCACAGAATAAAAGTACTTTCAAGTGAATAAAGTATGGGTGTGGGTATCGTGTCAACCTAACGCGCGAAGCACAGGTCGACACGACTATCCACGAGTCTATTATGTGTGTGTACTCTAGCTCTGGTATATAACTTCTCTCATGTAACATCAGCTCATCCCAACAATAGAGCATACAATAGATATCTAGAGTATACATGATATGAATATTTAAAGCAATAAGAAATACAATAAATAATATAAAGATAAAGCAAGTAAAGTGTAAAGATAAACATCCAAACTGACAAGGAAACAAGCAAAACTAGGTTAGATTCTCTCTTGCAGGAACAATTAAATCTTCAGCAGAGTTGTAACACCCTACTCTCCCCATTCATTTAATAAGTAAAAACATGAAAATAGTTTGCGAAAAAATCAGAGTACACACGTACGATGTCACATTAACATAAAATCTCATGAAGCATTAAGTTACTTTATATCTTATTTCCTCATAAGAATAAATTAATTAAACAACGAAATATTCATTAGTTCAATACTAAGGCTCCAATTACATTAATTCCACAAAATATGTGGCTCAACAACATAAAACGAATCAAGATACGTAGCAAATAACCAATAACTTAGAGAAAATAACGAAATTCTAATCTTCTCGTGTTATTTATCAGAGCGACTCCTAAGGCTCAATATATTTTATTTTCTATTTTGAACTTAAGATTTATTTCATTTTAAGGTTCCAATAAGTTGTAAAAACATGGCAATCGATTGGGATTGATAAAATACGTTTAATGGAAATTCCTTTTTGAGCCAGCCTGTGGCCTATAATAGAGGTCCATTTTGTCATTTCAAAGCATCCAAAATCGTGTTTTGACACACATACACACACACATCTCTCTCTCTCTCTCTCTCTCTCTCTCTCTCTCTCTCTCTCTCTCTCTCTCTCTCTCTCTCTCTCTCTCTAAAGTTTTATTTAACTTTCTCTCACTATGTTTTAGCCTTAGTGCTTTTTTAAGAAAAGTTCTTTTATGAACGAGGATATAATTGTAACTTTCTCTCACTAATAAAATATTTTGTATACACCTTAGTTGAATATCATCATGTTAGAGATTTATTTGGGTTAGAAGCTAAACCCGTTAAAAAGTTCTGGGTTGGGATTGTGTGATTCAGTTCCAACATAGGTTCGAGATTAACCCGTTATAAAATCTCATAGGTTCTTGGTTAGCCCGATGTTAAAACCAAGATAAGTTAAAGTTCAGACCAGTATTAAAAGCTTCATAGGTTCGAGAGTAACCCGGTATTAAAATCTCACAAGTTATTGGTTAACTCATATAAAACCAACGTTTAAGGTTCGTATGCTCGACCCATGTAAAACCTTGCAAGTATATGTGGAGAGAAGACTAACCGCTTCAGTCCACCATCGGGAAGGAAGATTGACCACTTCACTCCTGAGACCATATGAAAGAAAAGATGGAAATGCCTAAAATTATGGTCTTGTATTTTGAGGTCAACCATCATTTCCTTGTATAAGGGATTTTGTGTCTCTTTTCTACTAAAAGCTCTTAATTGTTATTGGAAACTTTCAAGATCAATTATTGAGGAGAAAAGTAGGACCTCTTATTTTTTTACTGAGCCTCTATATATCTTGGTTTTCATCTCATTCCCCTAAACTCCATTACAATTTAACCATTTATTTTATGCTATTTATATTTTCCATTGCTAAGGTTTTGAAAATATTTTTAAACTCTATTTTTCACTTTCTAAAGTTTTTTAAAACCAAGTTTGTTTAAACCACACAATTCATCACCTAATGTGCGTGAAGTCTCAAGTTCAACAAATGGCATCAGAACTTAACTCATATTTAAGGATTAATCGTCTCAAGAGAAACACCCCTTAGTGTTAAAGGCTTCTTGTATATTATTCGCCATTCTTTGGTTCTCCACAACTCCGTCGAATGCTTTTTTTAAATCTTACCATATCCACTACAAGAAAATTTGCAAATTGCGACGGTTCATTTTGATAGATTACGACGGTTTTAACCATCGTAATTTGTAAGTTACGACGGTTTCAACCCCGTTGCAGAAACGTGCATCGCGAGGCCGTATTGCGACGGTTGTGGAAACTGTCGTACAAACCGTCGTTATTTTCACGACGAGTAGCTAACTGTCGTAATCTCCATATTGTGACGGTTTTCAACCGTCTTAACTTGCTTAATGATTTTTTATTGCGAAAGTATATTGTGGCGGTTTGAACCGTCGTAAGTTGCAAATATTTTTTTTAAAAAAACTATGGTATATTGTGGCGGTTTGAACTGCCACAAGTTGCAAATATTTTTTTAAAAAAAAACTATGGTATATTGTGGCGGTTTGAACCGCCGCAAGTTGCAAATATTTTTTTAAAAAAAATCTGCAAATTCTCGATCACCAATATTTCCAACCTATAAATTATCACCAATATTAAGTGAAATATGATGAAAAAACATTGCAGCAGATTTTGTTTACCTCATATGTCACATCTCATTAAGGATCTGCTATCCAAATTATCAACCTTACAAACCTACTTGTTATGCATATATTACCTATAAAGAACAATAACTAACCACAATAACTAAAATCAACAAAATCATCTTACTATCTTATCTACTGTATATAGATTCTACAATCATCAAACAACAACAAAAAAAGTACCTCGCCAGCACTGTTTATTACACTATGATTATTCACTTCTGCCACATTCTTAACTTTA